AAAAATAAAGTGTGCCCTCTAGTGTGCATTTCCCATGAAGTTAAGTTTCCTATTAACAGATATTGTAGAGCTTTTCAAGAGCTATTTTTATATACTAAAGACTAGTTGGATCCTCTCTTATCTATGGGGGTAAAAATTAAAACACAAAAAACACAAAATTAAAAGACAATGATGTGAATCTTTACCATAACTTTATATTACATTTTGAGCAAAATCGGTTTCGTTAAGCGCCGCTTTACATAAGCAGAACGCAACTTGAAAATAAACATCAACGTTTGAATAGTTGAATTATACATGATTCAATGATCGTGACGAGAACATGCTGTACAGGAGACTTCGATCTCATTGTCGTCCTCGCTATCGATTGATGGAGAAGCAGAAGAAGAAGGCGTTGATGATCGTCGATAGTCGCTGTTCTCATCTCCATAGATTATACATGGTGTTTCCATTTGAACCAATCCCAGTGATACGCGACGTTTCTGTTGTAAAGGTGATGAAATTGGCGTTGCGACCGATGACGAAGATACTGATGACGCTGAGGAATTCAATGGACTTTCATTATTATTTTCTTCTTTGAGCATTTCACGTAATTTCTGCGGTGTAGCAAGGCCGTAACGATCAGTAGACGTAGACTCAATCCGAAATTTATCTAATGTTGGACAACCTTAATTAAAAATATTTCATTATACTAAATAAATTCAAAAGAAGGCTAACTGACTTTTGATGAAGGTATCTGTATATTGGTTCACGCGGTGATTTCGTATCAAATAGTAATGTTGAATATTCTGACCCAATGCCGCTTCATCAGAGATTGTTAATGCTTTAATCTATAAGGAAAACGAAGAAAATCCGATTGATATCAATTCTTTTAATGTTCAGAAAAAAGAACTTTGTTCACTGAACCATATATAAGGAAAAAACAACATTGTTTGATCATGCGTTATACTGAGATACTGTCTTTCTTACAAAACGATGTTCTAATCCCTCACAATCGCATAAATTTTGGTGCTCTGTTAACATTGATCTCTGTAAATGTTAGGTAGTGCTGCGATTATCTTTCTCTTCCTTCCTCTTATTCTTCTTTCTTTTTTTTCATTGTTATCATTGTTTGAAGGTAGATATATTCATGTATGTAAAGGATATGGTTAGAGAAAGAGAAAATAAATCAGGAGAGTAAGTTAGTCGACTGGAATCACGATAGAGCCGTATCAAATAAGCCTACTACTTCTTCTATCCATCTCGCACATGCTGCGCATTTCTGTTGTGACGAAAACAATAGAACGAAAAATTCTCTATCCTCTTGCATGTTTATATGTCGGAAAAGAAAAGCAGACTAAATATACGAGCAAGTAAAAGCAAGTTAAGGCATATAAAAGCGAGTTAGAGCCAGTTAGAGTCACAACTTGTGACGAAACTCTAACTTTCTGTTGTGACTCACAACAGAAATGCGCAGCATGTGCGAGATGGACAGAAGAAGTAGATATGCCTTATTTGGTACGGCTCTACTGAATCGTTATCAAGACATCGTGTGAAAACTTCACAATAAAATCATCTTAGAAGAGATCATTATTTGTGAATATAAAAAGTAAAACTCACATGGAAAATTTGTCGCTTTGATTTGCACATCGTGAATAATCTTCCGCCTAGAGCATGTTGCTCGAGTGCGAAACCAGCATCGCCTTTGATAGATGAATTTTTCATGTGTGTCCCAATTTCTATTGGTGTAACAAAAAGTTCCCTATAATAAAGCATGTTCTAGTTGACTGTGGAAAGGAGAAAACGAAACTCACGTCGTTGGATCAGCATCAAAACCAAGTTGAGACATGACAAATGGCGTGAATATATGTCCACACTCGTGTAACATTTTGGCAAATGCTAAAAAATTGTGTGCAGCTATTTGACTTTCTTGTGCAGTCATTATCTCATCGATCCACTAAAAGAAAAGAAAAGAAAAAGAGGGAGTCAACAATAGTCGCTGTATCTAATAATCAGCCGCAACTCGAAGCAAGAGGAAAAGTTCGTATGTGAATAGGATAATAAAGACTTATGACTCTACCATTGTCGAAATCTATGAGTTTTCCAAAATGAGCAGCGTTCATATAACACAGCATGTGTGCGTTTAAAAAGAATTGAATTAAGCAACGAGAACTTCGCAAATTCGATTCATCGTTGAATCTTTTGACGAGAAGATCATTTCAAAACATTCTCCTATAAAATCCTTTTGAAAATGTTCGATATTATTTCTCTTGTGCAATTCAATAAGATCTATCGAATTGTTCATCCATCAAAACTGTAATCTAATCTTATTATGGATTTCCTCCGTATTATGTGGAAAGGACAGATCTCACAGTTGAACAAGAAATTTTGATTCTATAGAGATCTGAGTCACTTGAGATGTATACATGCGAACAAATTTTGAGAGCAGATCTGCATGCGCCAACAGAACACACTTAGTCATATTAAGTTTGACAATTGAACAGAAAAGAGTAGTACGAAAAAATTAGCGAAGTGAAATATTCAAGAATCAAAAAATTATTTCAACTGAGATCGGATTACGAACCTTCTTATTTATAATAATTGTACCAGTCAGCATAGTTTCTTCATTGCGATAACGTGATGGTATTGATTCCATAAAAGAAGCTCTATTAATAGTTTCAAAATCGACTTCAATACGGGTTCGTTTCAGCATATCTTCAA